TCCCTGTCGGATCTCGTCAGTAACCGAGGAGACGTACATGAGACGATTGGAAGTCCAGGGATCTGGTGAGTGCGTTTGAGGGTAGAAATAGAACAGGAACAACAGCTGGCAAACAGCTGCTGGAACTTTCTTGCAGTCAAAATATCCAAGACATGATCTTCACCCCAATCTTCATTTGAGACCGGCTGACATAGATGAGAAGGCAATGTCATTATGGAGTGTGCGTGGCAAATATGACGGCCTTAGACAAAGTAAGATTCTGATATCGTTCCATGTTCTAAGCCGTGACACGAGACTTGTTTGATCTTTAAAGCGATTGGCATGAGTTAGTCATGTTCACTAAAAGACCCAGCGCTTTACAGACCCCGATTTCCATTCATCAAGATGTGAACATACCAAGATACCGAAAGGGTACTGATACCGACCTCAATCTCAGTATCACACAGAGGTGGCATCCAAGTTCGGAAAGGACATTTCTCCTGCCAAAGATACGATCGAACAAGTTGTCCGAGACGCGCATACGAGAATGAAATCCTGAACATGTGTATGTTAGCAATCCAGACCCCAAATCTAATGGAACAGCTAATTTGAGCACTTAAGATTACACGAGTAGCGAACGCGGGGGTTAGAAACAAGATCATGAGGCAAATGCCATTTCTCATGACTATTACCCATCCTTGTTTGACGAGGTTCCACCAGGAAGTTCAAGCGCTCATCATGGCATGTGCCTCGGGCGAGATTTTTGCCTTTGAAAAAGTATGAGTCAGAGCGGGATAATCTGACCATCAAAAGGATGGCAAGCAAACATCCTACAAGTATCTGAAAGCTGTGTACCCAGATGTCCGTGAATCATTGGCGGAATCTAGTGGATTTGACCCAGGGCAGCCAAGGTAGATCAATTCTCAACCGAGGCTAACAAGTTGAAGTGGACGAGTGACCTATGATACAACGATCGGATTAAGTACGCCACGAGTAGCAGTACCCGAGGACAAGAAATGTATTGTGAAGACGGAACAGGTTTTGGTATTGTGCCTGATGTCACAAGTGGGGATTGAAATAGCTTAACGGCTAGGCTTCACATATGCGGGTGCGAGTGCTGAACTGCATAAGGAACCACCAAACAACGGGCGGCTCCTGGTGTCGAGAATGATGTAGGCAAATGTGTATCACGGCGGAGGTCCAGATGTCAATGGAGAAACAGGCAGACACCGTCTGAAGGAGTCGTCGGTATCACAATTTTGGAGAGGCAACGACACAACGCACCATTGGGAAGAACCTTCCATACAACATGGCCTCTTGACCCGGTGCAAGCGTAGGTATTGTGTGGGATAGGAAGCAAGGCAACCAAGGCGTGATTGTATGTATGGCTTTGGGCGTCCAAAACGATGAAAAACGAAGGGGAGCTGAGAAAGAAGTGCCGGTGATTTAAATGGTGACGTGGATGAGCTATGGTGCAGATGGGCGAAGATAGGCAGCCGATACTTACACTCGTACCAACTGCTCACTCCACTCCTTCTTGCTTGAAGGTCTATTCCCTATTGTTCCTTGTAATTTGCAGTACAAGAATACAGTCCTCGTCAGCTTGAGTGGCGAATAGAACACGCACCTCACATAGAACATTTGATACTTGGGGAATTACATGTCAACTAGCTGCTGCATTCACCCATGTTGGCTATTCAATATTTGATAGTGAGCGAACGTTCAAGGACCGAGCTTACAGTCCAGCGTGCTTTGATGTTGATTTAAATGGAATAACTTCGTGTCAGGATTCTAGCTAAATTTTAGGAGTTAGAACGGTACGTATCGAAACCTCGAGCGCCTAATCCCGGCGCTAAAAATCCCATCCATGGCAAGGTCCGAAATCTGATGAGCCCGTTCACAACCCGTTCACTTGACAGGATGCGACTTGATTCTAGATGTGATGAATCGAGCCAGTGCACCGCCCCCGGCTATCTCATTCTGATTTTCGATGTGATATCTCAAAGTACGAACCTCCACGCGCCGCCCACGTTACGCATAGCACATGAATCAACAACGTTGAAACGACTGTGCGATGCGTTATCTGTATGTGAAGCTGAGAACTCAGGGAAAGGAAACAACCTGTCCGCACCCAGAAGTTCCTACTGACTCGGCCAAGGGAGCAATGCTCGCTGCATTATCTTACCCGCCCAGTCCCTACACTCATTTGGGATGCGTCAATTTGGCGACACCGACGTATGTGTACCATCCAACGGCACTTCAGCCTGGTCAGTTAGAACCTCATTATCCACACCCACTGTGCAGTTCAACGCAGTACCAATAGCGTTACGTGTTCTATTGAACACATACAAACACTAGTTCGAGCTGGGTAATACAGAGCTGTCCATAGTTTTAATTCGCAGACTGCGTCCTCGAATCAGTGAGCAATTGCAGAGGAAGAACACGAATAAAACGCACGATTTTAGCACTAAATAACACGATTGTCCCGAACGCACATTCTTCTGCAACCACGTTTTTGCTTTCATTTACCGTTCCTATGGGTAGCACAAAGGCGACTCGGGCAGAAGGGAATGTTATTGGGGTGAGTACGAACTCAGTTCCTCGTCAAGAAATGCAAACGAAATGGTGTTCGACTTCATGATCTGGACGGGACGCTCGGAGTTTGGTTTTGCTACATAATCGCCATATGCTCTCAATAAGATAACTATCGGTTGTAGATGTGGATATCCTCATGTGCGGGTGTTCCTGTTCGCTGTGGACTGAAATTTGATGGTTGGGTGGCCTGTTACACAGGAACAGACAGGACTCACAGTACAAGGACTACAGATATGCACCCGTCACTGCTTCAAATACACTATTCCACTACGGCAACGCATTGTTCCCTCTCACAGTTGCAATATCCAAGAAGCACAAGGCTTTATAGATATTTCAAACCAATCAGTGGCGGGCGAACAGCACTGCGGAAATTACTCTCGGGATCACGTACCGCCCGAGCCCGGAATTTGAGCGCTGTTCGTTAAGAAATCAAAATGTTTGAGATTGCGTCCCGCTCGGGCCACGATATTCTTGAGTAACGGCTGAGTAACACTCTACCAAATATGAAGTTTTTACCAATATAAGTCTGAAGACTTGCAATGCCTGCGAACACTCTTGAGAACATCTTTCTTCCTCATCGTTGGCGTTGATGGCTTGATATGCCTGGTGATCGTCAGCGGGAGTAGTCGGGAAAATGAAAATCGGGAGTTGCCATCAATGTATTACCACGCCACTGCCCTCATCAACCTGAGCGGCCACATTGCACCCGCAAGGGAATAGTTTGTAGACCACATAGGATGTAATGAAAGTCCTTCCTTCACCGAATGTCGATCTCGAGTCCTTAGGGATCGTCGAACGAGGCAGTAAAGGTAGATTATTTTCAATCGAGTCCTGATGTCGGGATCCATCAGGATACTCAATTCCAATACGACCACTTTGATACCGAGGGACTGTAGGTAGCAACCGGGACCACAACATTTCATCATGTCTCGTGTAGTACAGACGGAACTGAGCTATGGTTAATATGATTCCGGCCCGGGTTGTCACTGTTACCATCAACAACATATAGAGTAAACGCATGGCATCCATTTATAACATATATTATGATAATCAACCATCAAGATCCGTTGAACCTCCTGTCTAAGCAAAAACTATTAAACCAAAGACGTTTTCGCAGTTCTGCCATCCTCATTTACTAATACGTCCCCCACTTTCCTTTCCTTCTCTCTCTCTCTTTTGCGGCTTAACAATGAAGTCTCCTACCACCTCACTCGTTATCTTCGCTTTGCTCGGTACGTTCATACACGCATTTTTCCACCAACCAAAATTCAACATCCCTAGCCCACGCCTCTGCCCAAATCTTCACTGTGCTCCCCGGCTCTAGTGACCAACAAACATGTCAATCCGAAAAACGCGCCTTCCGTGAAGCTTTTCAGGTCTATATATACTCTCGTTATCGTTACCTCGTAACTCAAGTGGATTCTCATCATAGGACTGCGACAACAAACCCCAGATGCAGGATATCATCCACTGTATTTGCTCTGACAGAGTTAGCGATATTATTGGTATCGCATTGAACTGCCTCGTCTCTGCGGATGGTACCTCGAAGGAAACAGCGCAAGAGGGATTCGATCGTATGTGTCCTTTGTTGCTCGCGTGATATTTTCACTTAATGAGTATCGTAGAGTACTCTCGGAACTGTCGATCTAATGGGAAGGAAGTAAAGCAGCAGGTCATTAACGTTTAATGCCGATGGGAATGAAAGTGCATTGGGTATAATGGTGTTGTTGTGGCGGTTCGAGGTGTATCCGCAAATTTGATGCAAAAGAAACATCTTATGCTTCATGTTGTGGTACGGTTGAACGCGTCGGGTCAAATGAAACGCGGCGAAATACACCTAATAATCCAGCCGACGAGTCAACAGACGAAACGAGAGAGAAAAGCATACCTGCTCCCGAAAATGTTCACCGATTCATCGTGGTGCACGGAAGAAGCTTGCGATTCATCAAGATAAGCAACGAATTATAAGCTAACAAAGACATCATGATCCAACAGAGAAACGCTTCTCTGGCCTAGTCAGACCACATTCGAGTTGGATTCTCGCCACAGTACGTCGCAAGTTCAAGCCTTGCAAGGAGCGTATACCCAGATTTCAAAGAGTGTTTTTGCCGTTGTTGATTCGAAAGAACGAACAGATGAATCATGGCGCCGTGTGGTGTTCGTCATTACATCCTCAGCGAGAGTGTTCGGGATACCGATCGATAAACGACGACATGAAGTCTAGTATCGAGTACGCCAGGAGCATATGATAAAGAAAATGGCGTACCTCCCAAGTCCTGAACACAAACACCTTCTCTCTCAACAATACCATTCCCGTCATTGACGAAGGCTCAGTTTAACGAAGCAAAAAATTGATAAAACAGACATACCTGTAGCGGCGGGTAGAAGGGGGAAAGCTCAACACTCTACATATCGTTCATGTCGACGCTTCCCTAGTCTAGTGGGTTAGACGGCCTATGAGTTCGTCGCAAGTTCAAGCCTTGCAGGGAGCATGTGATATCGAGAGTTGGTTATTTTTTGGGAATTTTAAACAATCACACATGTCAACGAAAACAGCTGCGGCGTGTTGTTTTCATATACAACTCCAACGCCTGATAACTACTACTTTGGGATACCTCTAATCCGTGCGATACATTCGACACACCACGCCCTCGGATCCACAGTAGTTGGCTACGCAACAAGCATGCAGTGTCTGACTTGCATCATTCATTTCCACGCCAGAAATTGAGGGGTAACGGGTTCCCTTTCCATTCGGTATTTGAAAGTGCAAAATGCCATTACCCTTGGGATATACACCGTTCCGGGATCGAACCCAAGCCGCTTCCTTTGGTCAAGTGTGATAACTACTCTACCAACGGTGTCATACACGAGCAGCAGAATGAAGACGAACGACCCAGCCTACACGCCCAATCGAACTTGAGACAAAGATGTTGGGAAGGGTAAAAGGGCGTGGAAGCACGTAGTATCCTGTATCGAGTATCGTCAGATTAAACAACTCGCGATATAGAACGGGAAATGCGTACCTTCCATTCAAACCCTAGGGGGCGTAGGAGACGGCTGCGCTCGTACTGGAAGGTATTGATGAGGCAGGAAGCAGGTGGGGATAACAAAGGGTCGCTAGTGCATCTAATTCCTCCCTTTATCCGCTCGACTAAGCGGCACCTGCTTCTATCATAAACATTTCCCGATATCCAACCGGGGGGTGAGGCTAAGGTTGCGGAGGGTGGGAGTGCGAGGGATGAACGCGCTTGGTACTCCTTACACCGCATACCGTCGGCACGAGAGTGGGGTGTAGTGGAAGCCGGTACGGGTGTGTGGAGTAGAGTGAAGAATGATCTATGTTCGACTTCCGTGTCTTCAGAACTCCGGGGAGTACAGGGTGATGGGTGCAGACATGTTGCGTCGTATCGACGATGGTTCTTCCATTCGGCAGCTTTTCATCCCTTCCAGCAGCTCTTCCTCCTATACCGACGATGAGACCTGACGACGAACGGACGACGACCGTGGAGTAGCGAGAAGCGGGTGTAACGCGGCTGAGCTGACGTAGGAACAGTACTGGACGGGAACGCGCTGGTATTTGACAGGATATGGGCGGCTTGGATAGAGGGGATGTGTACCGAAGCGTGGAGTGGGTGAAAATATCTCTTCATCGATCTGTACGAGCCGCCTTCCCAAGTTTCGTCTACTCTCCCAACTTCAACATCTGCGACTATTCCTCCAACGATAACGGCTGCGGACTGGACGTTGGGCGGGTGTAGACGATGTGTCGTTGAGTGGAACAGAAGGGAGTGGAAGAACACGTCTAGCTGAACCAATGAGATACCCAATCATGCGGAAGATAAAGAGGACGTACCAGCACCGAGAACGTTCGAATTCACCATCATCGTTGAAAGAACCTAGAGTCCATCAAGATAAGCAACCAGTCACGAGAAAAGTGAAGACGACGTACCTCCGATCCCCGTAGAATCATCGGGGGAGGCGCAGGATTCGGGTTAGGCCGTAGTTGAAGTTCAGGTATCGTTCAGTCGAATGGAACGCAGAGGTATACACCTAAGCCAACGGATGAGCCAACAAATCAAACGAGAGAGAATAGCGACGCACCTGATCGAGTCACCGAGCTATCGTGGTTGAAGGAATGAAGCTGCGGTTATCAAGATAAGCAACCAAAACGGCGGCGACGACTGGGACTTTGTAGTCGTGGTTGAAGGAAGAAAAAGAAGCAACGGATGACCTGATAGAAGCACAGGGCATAGGGTTACTTCTACTTACATGACGTCACTCTACCCACGGTCTATCAAGTTCAAGTTCACGCGTTCAAGATTGCATTCAACGCCTTTCTGGTCTAGTTGGTTGGGCCGCGTATGACTTGCATCCTCGCTACGTCGCAAGTTCAAGCCTTGCACGAAGCGCATGAATGTAGCTGGATGTGTTTTTGGCACACAAGCAGGAAGGATACCGATATGGTGCGTTATCTAAAATGACCAATATTCTACAGCACAAGGAATATTATTTTCCTATCAGTTGCTGAGGATGCAGGGCTCGCAAACGAATGATATACAAGCCGCCCGTGCAACATATCCATGTCAATGAGCATGTTCTGTTCGTATACGACTTCAGTCTTGGACATTCTATCTAAATATCCCCGTAGACGAGGTTCAATGACCTGCAACAGTGTCATAAATATGTCTTGGTCTGGCAACAATTATTCAATCACACGGGTTTGCGAACTACAAAGGGCATGGGGTCAATAACGATTACCAAAAGAAGTTAATAAAAAGCTCCTTGCGTGGATTGTATACACCGTTCCGGGATCGAACCCAAAGCCACTTGCCTTTATCTAGCGGGCTAACCACTGAACCGACGGTGTTCTCAACCAAGAGTACCGCCATATCACCGACGTAGAACAAGGAACAACCGAGCCATTGACAATCCCGCCCATTCCACTCGAGTCTTACAAGCGATATCGAACACCCAATCAAACTTGATATTGCTATCAATTACACGAGTATATATCGGAAGGAGGAATTCCTCAGGGCGTGCGATGACTCTTGGCCTTAAGAAGCTGGTGCGTTTCAAAGTATTGAAAAAGGATCCTATACTGATTTTACTATACACCGGTCCGGGATCGAACCCGAGTCGCTTGATTTCACCTAGCGGGGCACCCACTGCACCAACGGTGTCTTCAACTGCCTTATATTCCCATGTATGGCGACCACGAACATTATCATATCACCGACGTAGATCAAAGACGACCGAACCAATCCCCATCCGCACCCTGCTCCACAACTCGATATCGAAAATCCAATCAAACTTGCTGTTGCACCCAACTATCCCCAGCGTCCAATCTGAAGGTGCATCCTCAACAACAAAACCGTTGTTCTGATTCAAAATCAATGGGCGCTTTGGCACCGTAATTGCGTGAATTGATCGACACTCGATAGACTTTTCTTGCTTCATGCGCTATCCTACATAATCTGTGTCCAGAGTCAACCCTACGAAAATTAACCCTTCTTGACCATGGACTTTTGGCAAAAAGCAAACCTTGATTGATATCGACTCATGCTCCCTGCAAGATTCGAACTTGCCTCCTCATACCGGGTTTCGGGGCTCGAGATCTGATTCGGCCAAGGGAGTATTATTGAATTATCGATTGTCTTTTTCCAATAATAGTGAATACGAGTTGAAGTATTCAACTTTGCCCGAAAAAAGCAGCCATTATTTTTCTATATACACCGTTCGGGAATCGAACCCGAGCCGCTTGCTGAGATTTCGATACTGGCCAATTGCTAATCAACGCTCACTGCACACCGTATTAGCATAAACCAGGCCCGCAACTTCGGCAGTTGGGGCCCATTCTGATTCGACATCGTGAGAAGCGCGAAATAAACAATCTCTGGCGACGTTGTGAGAAGAGAAAAGGGGAAAATCTTCGAGGACATACCTGGCGACGTTGTGAGAAGAGACAAGGAGGATGTCTCACGACGTCGCCAGTGTAACAGATCTGCGGAAGTTGCCGTGAGCATGACGAAATCACGATGACAAGATGACAGCACTCACCACTGCTCTCTCACTTGCGACCTCGGCGGTGGAGAGAGCATATCCCACTTACGGCGCGGGGCGCGGGGACGGTGAGTGCTTCAGAAATATGCTGAGCTCGCTATTGATGCAATTAATCTTTTGTAGACTCGCAAGCTCATCTAAAATCGAGCCATGGAAGGCAAGCATGATAACCACTTCACCAACGGTGTCTTGGTGACTTATTGCTGACATCAAAGGTCTGTAGTAGTGTTGTGGATAGTCGATCTCCCTTTCTTATCGTCCATCAGCGCGTCTTTATCATTTGTACTCATGGGTATCTACTGTAACCTCAAAGATTCGTCTTTCCCCTATCCAATGAGAGTATCCGATCCGGATTGCTATTTGGCACCCTCGCTCAGGATATCCCGACCCAGGATTGGAAGGACACGAAGGAAAAAGGTGCAAATGGAGATGCATGATCCCTGCAAGGTTCGAACTTGCGTTCTCACAGCTAGTAGGAGTTTTTAAATGTGAGATCTGACTCGGCCAAGGGATGATTTCCCACATTGTTATCCAACGACGCCCAAGAAAACTGACATGTGGCAACCCAATTGGGTATGTATTCGACAATGATTGAGAGACGCTTGTCGCATCTTTCTTTAGCCAGTTCGCATGGTACGTCGAGCCAACGGACGAGCCAATCAATGAAATGAGAGAGGATAGAGACGCACCCGCTCCTGTCATCGAATCATTATGGTTGAAGGATGAAACTGGGGTTTCCGCAAGATAAGCAAAACGACGACGGCGACTTAGAGGTTGTGGTCGACGGTAGAGAAATTAGAAATACACCGTAAAAGGTACAAGCCGTCTTCTGAGCGCTGTCGGCACCTTTATAAGCATCCTAAAATGTTATAAGCTTTGAAACATGTGAACCGCCTTGTGATGTGCTCCAAGAAGAGTACGTTCCAACGACTACATCGGCTTATATAGTAAAATCGTGAAATGTTGGGCTATAAGGACTCGCAACAACGAACGCTCCGACCTTCCTTGATGTGGCGGAAAAGCGGCTCCGATGATCATTCAGCTATATATATATGATCGACGTTTATTTAACAATACACCGATATCCGTTCATGCGAAGAGCGATAACCGACGTCCTGCGCATTGGGGGGATCAATATCCCCTTATTCGTCTGGGTCATCAGTGCTAATCTGGTGGATAAGAAGCAAAACTCCCTTCGTTCCAGATAAGGTCATAGTGTCCGTGCATCACGTCACCCGGAAATAGCCATTGTATACGATCCGACTAGCTTGACATTTAGCTAGATGCATGGAAGACCGCTCGCTGGACATGTCAAACGATTTTCGTTCTCCAATGACACGCCTGCTCGGATCTCATTCATCTCAAAGTGACCAAATAAGTAAGTAGTGCCATGAACATGTTTGAGCCGCATGAAATTAGTTGATGTGTATTACCATTGAGGCCAAGCCGAGTCGCGCTCTTTATTTGCTCCGTGCCAGTACCTGGGAGATAGGCGCGCTGTTCACTAGTTAAGATAACATGACAACGCGCGTCCACCAAGGCTAGTTCACGAATTGTATAACCCATTACCAGCATGATGTGCTCGTGCAAAGGTATTACTTCTCAAGAAGTGTATCCACTGTTCTAAATGCAAGGATGCCAAATACATGCCATGTTCATAGAGAATGATTACAGAACTATGGTTTCCATTTCAAATCTACTTTCTACCGAGATAGGCTTGCACGCCCTTGTTCGTAGCTTCGTCAAAAAATCCATTAGGCTATCACCCATCAATGAATGATTACCATTACTCACCACACCGGGGAACTTGAAATTCCAAAAATGTATGAGTGTCCTGTGGCACAAAGAAAACTTGACATGTCCACTGCGCAACCTTTGACTTGTCAATGTGGATGCTAAGATAGTCCGAGAGAATGCAATTGTTCTCCTCGGAAACTTTGATATCGGATTCTCTGCAGATGCGGTCCACTGACAACGTCCAACCCAGCACATATACCGGATTTCCTACCCATTCAAACACAAGTTTCTCCTGGTTTCCCACCGGCGTCGTCTTGGAAGAGTGTTCCTCCTTCCGGCGAGTTCTAAACTCTACAAATTGCTTTGGGCCACGCCGGGGTGCTACGTTGGTTGCTGTCCATCTAGCGTAGAGCACCTTTTGTCCTGAGCCGAACGTTACCTCACGAGAGCCAGATTCCAGCTTGTTTTCGCCGCCCACCAACAGGTCTCTTTCCGATTTTCCGCATTCCCACCGGCTCGTTCTACTAGCACCGGTTGGACGAAGAAATTTGACATCAGATCTCATGTTTTTCATGCTCAACATAAGATGATATCGAATTTCCAGATCCAATTTACGGTCCTTGAGTTTGAGGAGATGGGCCTCCATCTCGGATGAGGCGATGTACCACTCTTTGATGGTAGAAGGGTGGGCCAGCTTTTGTTGGTCTGATCTGTAGAGGTTTAGGGCGTTTTTTATCTCGGCATGCTCGACTTTGGTTCGGTTAGAGGCAGGATGCGTGAGGAAATCCTGAAGCACCTTGCAGTGCTCCTTGATTTTCTCTAATTTATCGAATAAACGAGTGTAGACCCTCTCTATCAGACGTGGGATTGTGGGATCGAGAGTACTTCAAAGTTTGTATGGGTGAGAAAGTTTCCTGGAAAAAAAGTGGGGACTCTCACCTGTAGTGATAAAGGTAAGCAAACTCCTTTTCTCCTACCGCATTCTGCAATAAGGTTTCAAGAGCTGCCTTCGGGTCGTCTGATTTGCCTGGGCTACTAGCAAATGCTAACTTGGAACATCCTTTTGTTCGAATGAGCTGATGTAGCCTTGTGGATTTTTCGGTGTGTGTCTTTGATTCTGCGTAGCCAAATTCACCCATAAGAAGGGAAGATAGGTGAGCGCTAGCTTCCATTTGCAGTAAATGATCGGTATTGATCTCCTCGCTCATTCTACACGTGATATTAGTGAATAAACGATCTGGTATGCAAGAAAGAGGTGATGACGCACTGGCATAGGAGGAAACCCTCACAGCTAGCACTCAGCTTGAATCCGGCAATATAGAAATCCCCATACTGCTCTCGGAACTCTTGATAGGTAAGATCTTGCACTGATTTCTCCAGTCCGATATCTTTGGACACATACTCGGGCTCATACTCTGCAGTCGCCTTAAAGTGAATGAAACACATCCTTCCGGATATGGTAGACGATATCATGGACTGTATCTTAATCTTCACCTCCATCGGAAGATTGCCAGCGGTAATTTCAGTGGTTCCGAACACGAGTTGAAGACCTATACCGTCTTGGAACTGTTCCCCAATTTCCACGATGAAGATAGATTGAGAGAATTCCACATC